TCGTACCTGCAACTAAGGGGTGGCAGCCCTTCCACAACCAAACCTGGATGGGCCGTCAGTGCCATTCAGTAACCCGCCTGGAGCGCAGCAGTCCCACTGCCCGGAAGTGGCTCCACTCTTGAGTGGACACGCTCCAGATCAGCTGCAGGGACTGCAGCCCAGCCTGACCCGCAGCTTCTAAACACTGGCTGGAATGCAAAGCACCATTTACCTCGAGGTGCTGCATGTATTTGTGGGCGGGCAGCGGGAGAGGAGCCTCCTTCGTGTGTGCAGAGAACAGGACAGGAAAGAGTAAGAATTTGTTCTGTTAGAATAACTTCCTGCTATCCTATATTCACTTACCTGGGAATAAGTTCCATTCAACTCAATGGGGCTTGCTTCTGAATTGACATGTATGGGCTTGCCCTGCAAGACTCTGAGCCGGATAATTCAACAGAAGAGAAAAGAAAGGAATCCCATGTGCTTTTGCCCAGTCAAGTGACTTCCGGTTTCTTTACATATACAAATGCGGGAGGTGGTAACGCTTTGGGCAAACAAAATTAAGGCAACGGATTCGCCCAGTGGAGAAAATGAAAGGACCGCCTTCTTATGGTTTTAGGGAGAGCCGCAACACACAAAGCCCCGCCCCGCATACAGCCGGGCAAGTCATCCAGTGCCCTGTTTCAAGCGCGGCTCCTGTGAGGCGAAGCTCGCCCCACCAAGCCAGGCCCGCAAGGACACAGACCAGCAAGGCCCTCTGTTTTCCCGCAGTCCTCGCCGGCCTGCGTTGGGCGACAGGACCCCTCCAGCAGTGAGGGATTCGCCCCCCAGTCTTGATCGCAACCCTCCAGGCCTTTGTACTGGGGAGGAATTCCAGGAAAACAGCTGTCTTCCTGCAGCAAAAGAGCGCTCTGAATAGCCAATCCGAGCCCCTTTGCCTGCCTCGCCATTAGAGGCTGGATCTAAACTGACTTAGAGTAAGTTAGAACTTGGAATAATTGAATTTAGGCCGGCTTTTAAGCAGAGAGACTGGAGGGAGGGGGGTAATGACACCTCCAAGCCCCACCCTGCGATTCTGTTCCTCCTCCTCCATTTAAGCGAAGCCTTCTTTCCTCCTCCGCCGCCCGCTCCTCTTTGCTCTTCGTACCCCGCTCTCCTCTGGCCCCGCACTTTGAGCACTGACTGCTCGGCTGCAACAGTAAACCGGAGAGTAACTCCCGGGGATTTACTGCCGACTACTTCAGCTTAGGACAGGGCTATCCCTGTGGCGTGCCCTCTCCAAAACCAGGCGCCGAGAAAGAGCAGTGGGGGAACTAGTTCATACACGTGTGTGTGGAGGGGATGGGGGCGGCAGCGAGGGAAGGCGAACCGTCAGAAGTCTCGGGATCGCAGCTGCCACGGGGCAGGGAGGTCAGGTGCGCCGCAGCTCTCTTTGCGGATGGGCATTCCGGGCTGAGGAGAGGCGGGCAGGCGGGCGTTCGCGCCCCTGGTTAGATCCCTCGGACGCCCAGGCACCCCGTCCCTCCCCGCCCCTGCTTCCAGCAGCGCCACGCTCTTCCTCGCCGCCCCCTTGGGATCGATCCTGGCTGGGAAGGGAAGTGGTCCCCGAGTTCCGTGGGTCTGACGCCCCAGCGAGCGCGTGCAGAGGGGCTGCCTCCCGGTTTCTTGGCGAGCAGCAGGGCCGTTCGTAAAGGGTGGTCAGTGGCCACCCGGAAAAGCGGCCCAGCCTCGTCCCTGCGCCTTCCCTTCGCTTTTGGGTAAACACGGGCCGCTCTTCAGCCAGCTTCCTCCCCCGCCGCCCCGGCTCTTTTGCAGCCAAAACGGCTCTTTAATAAAAGGCGTGGGGAGGGAAGACCAGAACCCGCGTCCAGACCTGCTGCTTAATCCAATGAAGGCAATTTCCGAGCGTAATTGCGAACATGTTTTAATGCATATGCATGAAAAAGGGTGTGTGTGTTTTTTTCCGAGAGAGCGACTTTACATGCTTATGTAATTGATTGAGGCGCTGACCCGCTATTCAAAATGTTATTTGAGAACCATCAGAATGCGTAAACTTGCAAATTGCCCAGCTTGTATCTGAATTAATACCTCATTCATCATCATTATGGGTTGATAAGTTAATTTAACCATTTCATTCTGCCTTAATGAGCTATAGTTAAATTAATGCCACATAATATATGAAAGTAACATTTAAATAGAAGCACTGGGCTGAGACAAACAGAGGCTGCCGCTATTTGGGCTTGAAATAACGTGACATAAATCTTTTCTTCATTACAGGAGCCAGTCTGTTCTACCAGCAGTTATGAAGTATTTATTCATTCGCTGGCTTTGCTACCCTCCCCCGCCCCCCCCCCAGCAGCCTCCCCCAAAGCTGCTTTGCCAAATAGCATGGGTAAATTATGGGCGCTTGTAAATAATGCCCGAGGATGACTTTATTAAAATAAAACGGAGGAAGGAGAGTGGAGAGGACACCGTCCAGGAACGGATCGCGTCCTCCCGGCTGCCAGAGACTCCGAAGTCC